AAGAAAAAAAAAAAAAAGAAAAAAAAAGAAAAAAGAAAAGAAAGAGAAAGAAAAAAGTGACCATTTTTTTCTTCTTCTTTTTTTATGATCATAGAAAAAAGTGGCCAAAGGTGATTTTGTTCCCTGATACATTAAAGGGACTTAAAAGATTAACGCGAGCGTCGTCACAAAGTGTTATTTCTAATAGAGTTAGTAGTTTCTTAATCGGAGTTCTCGCTTATCGTTGTCACCGATACGAATTGCGTTGGTGAAAATGTAACGCGTTTGTGTCCTAGATATTCAACGGCGCTATATGCGCGAAGGTCGTTAACTCTCTGGCGTCGGTACGTCTGGTGACGCTAAACCATCGTTAATTTTCCATATACATATAGTTTGCTAATCCTAATACGCGTGAACGTGTTCATTCGTTCGTTCGTTCGTTCAAAGATTTAGATTTATTTCTTTCTTCGTTTATGAATTTTCTAATCGTTTCGATGAATCAGCTCTTGTCGTCGTTTTATTCGTTTAATTAAAAAAAAAAATCTTATGATTAGAAGGATTCGCGTTAACGTTAACGTTTTTATTTTTCACTCTTTCCTAATTGCAATTTGTAACGTTTGCACAAAGACACAAACTCGAGTTTTAAACAAAATCATTAAGTTCATTGAAATAGTAATGATTTGAAAAACAAGAAGAAAAGAAAATAAGAAAAAAAAAAAAAAAAAAAAAGGAGAAATGTATTTCCAAATACTTAACGATTATTCTACGTTAAACAAGTAGTTCAATCTTTCTCCTTTTCACGGAAGAAGTGATAATAAAAATAATAATAATAATAATAATAATAATAACAATTTTCAATTGGACAGAGCGCGTGGGTTAAAAATATCGAAGTTAAATCGTTGTTTTTTCATATTAAAAAGGAGCAACAATTTTCATGTATTACCAGTTACGTAATAAAAATACGATTAATTCGATTTTAGAATATTTATTCAGTAAGAAAAAAAAAAAAGAAAAAAAAGAAAAAAGAAAAAAAATCACGGAAACGATTCATTGAGAAAAAGTCACTTAGAAATTTCAAAGAAACGTAGTGATAGTGTTAGAAAAAAAGAAAAGAATACAAAAAAAGAAAAAAAGAATGCAAAAAAGAAAAAAGAAAAAGAAAGAAGGAAAAAAGGAAAAAGGAAGAAAAGAAAAATCATCCGTTGGGTAAGTTGGGAGAACATATTACGTTGGCTTAGAGAGTGAGAGAGTGATCCATTGTAATCGAGTAAAAAGGGCAAAGAAGAGTGATGTAAAAAAGGGAGGAAGTGGTAAAAACAAAGAAACAAAAAAAATCGTGAAGAAAGCCGTTTGAAACGATCTAGGAATGTGGATGTTTTTAGAGTTGTAAGAAAGAAAGAGAAAAAGAGAGAGAAAGAGAGAGAGAGAGGGAGTGTGAGAGAGAGGGAGTGTGAGAGAGAGAGAGAGAGAGAGAGAGGGTGCGGCATAACTCGTTGAGGATTTCCGGCACTTTTCTCTCTCTCTCTCTCTCTTTCTCTCTCTCTCTATCTATCTATCTTTACCTCTTTCAGTTTCCCTCTATCTATCTATCTATCTATCTATCTATCTATCTATCTATCTATCTATTTATCTATCCTATCTCTATCTATCTATCCATCTATGTATTCCTTTCGAGTTGAATGGTATTTATCGGAGAAGATGATGACGAAGGATCGTAGTCGTGTAAGAAGTGGGAAGTCTTATTAAACGATTATCCGTTGAAAAATTTGTCGCGTGATTCATCTCAAATTCATGGATAATGAAAGTTAACCTCGGAAAAGTGTGGAGTAGCGTACTGGATATGCGATTTGTCCGGAGAGACTCTCTCAGAATGGGACGGGCTAAAGCCACGTGACGTTACTCTAGAGCGTTCCGTGCCGCAACGCCCCGTATTGATCGAACGAACATCAGCTGTACGGTTGGTAGCATTTATTTCTAACCCCCTGATGGCATGACTCTGACTCGACCACCACCACCACCACCACCACCACCACCACCACCACCACCACCACCACCACCACCATCACCACCACTACCGGCCTACTGACATTGTCACTTTCTCCTTTCTAACATTTATCTTCTCTCTTTCTATTTCTATTTCTCTTTCTATTTCTATTTCTATTTCTATTTCTAATTCTAATTCTATTTCTATCTCTATCTCTCTCTTTCTTTCTTTCTTTCTTTCTCTCTCTCTCTCTTTCTCTCTTTCTCTTTTTTTTTCTCTAATTATATTTTTTTTTTTTTATCTCTTATTCAAGGTTTTTTTTTATAATTCGTTGAAATGATCCTAATTGTCCTAATTGATTAGCATAGATTCATAATTTTGTAGAATTTAATTTAATGCATTCTTTGCGTTTTCAAAAATATATACCTTCGCTGCGGGTGCGGTCTATATATATATATATATGTATATATATATTCTTTTTTTTTCTCTTTCTCTCTCTCTTCTTTTTTTTTTTTTTTTTTTGATTCATTTGGTATACATAGTCGATAACGCAAAACGTCGTTACTATACGTACCAATAGCAATGTAAATAATTTCGCGAATTGGTATTCTATCCAGCGAATGTGTTAAATGTTTGGGAGAAATTAACGAAAAAAAAAAAAAGAAAAAAAAAAAAAAAATAAAAAAAATGTGTTGGTTATATATTATTTTGTATATAGTTATTTTTTTTTCCCCGTTAATAAAAATATCATTCGCTTGATCGTCATTTTATCCTTTCGAACGTTTCCTTCTCTCTTTCTATCTTTCTTTATTCTTGTCCCAAGACATATTAGTTCGCTCGTATCTATTATACATATGTTTTTCATCGCGGATCAAAATTTGAAAAAATTTGAGAAGCTATGCATTAAAATGTCATCATTATATACGGAGATTAAAATGATGATTTAATTTGTTATATCTTAATGGACTTTGTTCGATTTATATAAATATTTTAATTTTTATTAAAATTGACTATCTAATTAATCATCTGAATACGTTTATCATACGAAGATTATTTTATATTTATGTGTTTTCTAATAAAACATCGGAGGATATATAATCAAGTGATTTCTAGAGTAATCTGTCAATCGATATTTCTTAGTAAGGGACAGGAGACTTATAGAAGTATGTAGCTCATGGGAAAATAAGAAATCAAAGAGGGTAAGAGGTCGACCGTCGATTCTGAATGATTTAGCGCGTTCTCGCTTTATATACTCACCGTGATAGCCCTCCGGTGAGTACGTAAATTGCTAGTATGTATTTTCCGCAACATTAGAGAAACGTCACCTACTTAACTTTTGATGATGTAATAATCTAATGTAACAGATGATCAATGAAAGTTAATACATTATTACATTCGTAATTTGTCAAAGTTCTTTGATTATTTTTATTTCTAAAATATATTAACAATTACGTACTTTAATCCCTCTGTAAAATATAAAAATAGTATTTATTATTTATTTATTTCTATCTCTCTTTCAGTTTCTAGACAATTAAAATTTCGTGAGGGATTATTTTTATTTATATGAATAATTAGATCTTTTAATCTTCATTAATACGTTTATTTAATTAATTACTTAATTAATCTATTTATTTATCGATCTCTCTTTGTTTTTATTTTATTAAAATTCAGAAAAAGATTATTTCTATTTATATGAACAGCTAAGTTTTATAATCTTTATGATACGTATTTTTAATCTTTTATTTATTTATTTGTTTGTTTATTTATTTATCTCTTTGAATTTTCTAATTAATTAGAGCTTACAGATTAGTCTTATTTATATAAATAATAATATCCCTTTTAATCTCCATAAATACAAAGTTTATTTACTTATTTATTTGATCATTCATTCATACATTTATTCATACATTCATTCAGTCATTAATTAATTAATTGAGTAATTCATTCATTCTTTTTTCAATTTCTACCCATTTCGAATTCGAATTTCTTCCTAAAGAAATTAATTATCGTGTGTATACGGAGATCTGGTTCGTATCGAGTAAATTAATCAATTCGTAGAGCAAAAACGGTCAACGTCCGATGATTGAACGAACGTAAAAAATAAAAAAAGAAAAATAGAGAGAGTAAGAGAGAAAGAGATAGAGAAAAAGAGAGAAAGAGAGAGAGAGAGAGAGAGAGAGAGAGAGAGAGAGAGAGAGAGAGAGAGATAGGTATACAAAAGGGACGAAAGATAGAAAGAAACGAATAAAGAGAAAGTGTCGAGTTCGCGCCAGATTTACCATCCTCATTATTTTCAATTACGAAGCTTTCTCGCGGCCTTGCTCGGAGCAATCTCAAGATTGGATCGTCGTTTTAGAAAAGGAAAAAAAAAAAGGAGGGACTAGAAAGAGAAAAAAAAAAAAAAAAAAAAAAAAAAGAAAAAAAAAAAGAAAAAAAAACGAAAGATGAGTGAGAGATAGACTCTCAAGCGTCGACATTAGGCTCTTATACGAAAGTTATGCGCTAACACGCGAGAACACTCTAAGCTTTTGCTTTGAACTGACTAATCTCTCTCTCTCTCTCTCTCTCTCTCTCTCTATTCTTTTTTATTCTTTTTTTATTTTTTGCTTCGTGTACTCTCTCTCTCTCTCTCTCTCTCTCTCTCTCTCTCTCTCTCTCTCTTTTCTTTCTCTTTCTTTTTCTCTCTCTTTTTTTATTTTCTTTTTTATTTATTTTTTTTTTTGCTTCTTATACATCTCTCTCTCTCTCTCTCTCTATCTCGCTATCTCTCTCTATCTCACTATCTTTATATTTTTTAGTACTTATGTGTCAACATGATCGAGCTCTTGAAGTCATCAGCAGCAAAAGCACCAGCCTCGGGCTGTTTCAGAGGATTCCGTATGTTTGCGGTTGCTCATTCCCTAGAAAATGCAAAGCCCTGTCCCCAACGGATAACACTTGACGATCTCGTGAGAGAAATTTCAACATGGCAAATATTGCGTTACGTTCACACCTTATGATTTGGTTCACTGACGACGTACATATCTGTGTATATAATGTATATATTTATATATATATATATATATGTATATGTATTTATGTATGTATGTAGTATGTATCTACGTACTTACGTTGAATATAACTCGTTCCGAGATGACGATTTCTTTCCAGTCTACTGCTTTTGAAAATTTGATTGCCGTGTTGATCTAAAAAAAAAAAAAAAAAAAATAAAAATAACGAGAGAAAGAGAGGATGATGATAATATAAAAAATAGATTTTATTCAAAGAGAAATATTAAGATAATATATATATATATATATATATATATATATATATATGTATATATATATATATAAAATATAATTTCAATCTAATTTTCAGATATGAAAAAATATAGCACGATTATTAAATAATAAAATATAATATGATATATTATTATTTAATTTAAAAGAAATGAAGGAGAGAAATTTTTTACTTTTTATTTATCTCATGAAAATAATAATTAATATTTTTCCAAAGTTTTTATGCAAAAAAGTGGGCAATGCTGGTTGAAGAAAATCTTTCTCAGCAAGACTGAAAATAAAGTTGCAAAGAACTCTGAGCCGTGGAATTAAAAGGAAACGAAAAAAGGATGGAGAAAAGAAAAATCGAAGAAAAAAAGAAAATGAGAGGTGAGGGCGAGGGGGGTGGGACGGGAGGCGGAAGCGGCGGCCGTGGAAAAAAACAAGAGAAAGAAAGAGAAATTAATTATTTACGAACACGTTTCTTCTTCTTTTCTATAAAAAAAAAAAAAAAAAAAAATGGTCGCTTTGTTAGAAAAAACTTAACGTCGAGAAAAACAAAAATAAGAACGCAGCTTGTTTCATAAGGAAACAAACGAATTCGAGTAGCCAGGTTGATGCCACGACAATGATTATCGAATGTTGTCCGTCGAATAACAAAGGATTGCTTGTTGTTTTTTCATCTGAAAGATCTTGGCTCTCGCCATGCTCGGCGCAAGATCGTTTAACGATCCTATCGTTTACGTAAACGAGTTTGTTCCTGGCTCAGATTGTAGTCATTGAATGAATAAACAATTCTTATCTTGATCGATTGGAGTTTATCTTGAAATATTGAAATATCATTGTTGAAAATTTCTCTAAACGAATTTTCCTATATTTTCTTATATTTTCTATAAACGAATTTTTATTTTTTTATACAAAAAAATATTTATATAATGCTAACGCATGTGTGTGTGTGTGTGTGTGTGTATATATATATATATAAAAATATATATACACATTATTTGGTATAATAATTTTATGTAATGTGTATATGCAAAAATTAAATTATTATATTAATATATTATATTATACTATATTAATTTATATTTATTCTAAAGAATGGAATATTATTATAATATAATAAACTAATATAAAATATAATTTATATATATATATATATTATTAATAGTAATTGGTGTAATATAGAGTATAATAATATGTTATTAATTCTTATAGTAATATGTATATATATAATAATTTATACTTAACGATATAACATAAATATAAATTATCGATTATTCAACTTTTAGACATTTTCTTTTCATATTCAGACTCATATCAACGTTGCCTTTTTTTTTTTTTACATATTTATGTTTAAATATTTTTTAAATAATAATAATAATAAATGAAAAAAAAAAATAATAATAATAATGATAATCGTTTGTCAATTTATCTGTTACAGATGACATAGAATGGGTTGGGTGGTGCTAGGGCGGTGTGCGGGTGGTGGCGGCCGCCTCTCGTCCATCCTCTCGCTGTCTCTCACCTCCCTCGCAAGTTCCCTCATCTTTACCATCCTCTGTATCCTCACACTCGCCCTCACTCTTGCCAGTCTCGTGCGTGCCGAGAACAACATGTACGTATCAAGAAATATATAAATATATATATATATATATATATATATATATTTTATCTTTTTATTTTTTTTTCTCGCCTTGATCGAACTTATTTTTTTCGATCGTTTATAAAATAAATTCAAAAAAATATTAGAAATCATTGATGCTAGAAATTTTCAAAAAATTTCATATTTATCTTATAAATGATTCCAAAAAAAAAAAGAAAAAAAAAGAAGAAAAAAAAAGTAAAATAAGACGAGTGGAAAGAATAGGATATTTACTCTATATATACATATATATATATATATATATATATATATATGTATGTATGTATATATGTGTATATATATGTATATATATATATATATATATATATATATATATATATATTATTATTATTATTATTTGCCTTAGAAGGGTTCGAAGATGTTATTACTACAATGGCTCGATCAATTTCTTAACAAATTATGTTCATTAACATTTAACAAAATTAATCATATATTTATTTATATTTAATATTAAATTATTATTTTTAGCATGATCGAATTAGCTTAAAATCGTATAATTAAAACGATAAACGGACACATGGTTGTGTTGTGGCCACCGAATGTACTTGTACACTTCTATATCTTTCACTTTTCTTATGTTTTTTTTTCCTTTTCTTTTTTTATAATTATTATTTTTTTTTTTTTTTTTTATTTTCATTAATTTATATTAGTTCATTTATTTTTAAAGTTCCAATCGATGCCAATCGTAATAATTATCGTCCATCCTTCGGTCAGCAATCTCTTTCTTATATATTCGCTCGAAAATTTTTCTTCAATTTTGCAGTTGCGTCTGGTATTTTGTTAAAAATTTATATCAGAAACATGCATTTGTAGAGAGTTATTATTATTATTTATACGTACAAGATGGGACATAGTAACAATTATGATCACTTCGAATATCTTCGTTTTTTTTTTTTTTTCTTTTTTTAAAGATATGGAGAAAATTGAGTTAATTGAAGTCGTATGATTAGGATTGGATCGTAATATATGATAAGAAATAATTTTGTTGCACGTGGACGCGTAAAAAACATACGAATGTCAAGTGTATTTTTTTTAAAACAGCATCATATGTTTTAAATTATATTGGTTTTATATACAGCATGACATTCTCTATACAAAAAAAAAAAAAAAAAAAAAAGAAAAAAAAAAAAAGAAAAGGAAGTATTAACTCGTATATATATAAATTATTAGTTTTAAGAGATATTTCTAAGCGCTTATTTCGTACTTACTTCGCATATTTGTTTCAAATCTTTACGACTTTTAGTTTCAAAAATATTCCCATATAAATGTTAGACGTGGTTATTAATGTAGAAAAAAAAATTATTTCTTCGATAAAAATAATAATTTGTTTATCAATAATTTATTAATTTATTTAATTTGATATTATTCAGTCGCAATCTGAAGTTATAATTGCGACAAAATAAAATGAATTTGGTTCGTAAGAATTTGTTTATAAAAATTGTTTATAACAATTTGTTAATTAATTAATTAATTAAAATTTCATAAAATCAACTGCGATTTGAATTTTCTTTTTTGACAAAATAAGATGAATTTAGTTCGTACTAATTTGTTTATAAAAATTGTTTATAACAATTTGTTAATTAATTAATAACAATTGATTGAAAAAATGGAGAATATTCTGCTCTTTAAAATAATGTTTAAATTATATTTCTACGACTTTTAATTCCGAAGATATTAACAGATAAATGTAAGACGTTTATATTAACCCACTGACCTATATAATTTCATTCAACTAAGCTCAATGACACACTGACCTATATAAGTTCCAAGAATTTACGCGACCCAGCTGGACAGTTACTACTACTACTATACTATTACTACGAACAGCTATAGTATAAGAATTATGAATGGATATCTTTCGAAGGCGATAACTTGGGAACGAAAAATCGTAGAGACATGATAAAAACACCATTTTCAAGGCTAATTTATTTTTTATTTATATAAATATTGCAATAATATATTGATACAATAAAATCGATTTTGTTAATAATTTTTTAAAATTAAAATTTTTTCATTTCTTCATTTTTTTTCTTTTATATATATACATATGTATATATATATATATCTGTGCAATAAAAAAATGATATAATTACAATGAAATCATTAAAAAGTTTTTATTTTTAATACAATTATTAATATAATTGTATAAATATTATTTTATTTATTTAAAATAACAGATGGAAGATCTAATTGAAAGATTTTTCTTATGTAACTTTATTTACTACGTTTATTTATTTACTCTTACTATATTTTAATCGTATATCTATTTACGATTTATTAATAATATTTAAATAAAAATATCTTCTAAATTAATAATTTTTCGATAATAAATGATTAAATACGTATTTATAAGGAATGTCGAGTTTTATCGTCTGCAACAAAATTATTACTGACATATTATGATTCTCTCCACACACCATACGACTTCTGTAAACAAACTTTCTGCATATATTAAAAAAAAAAAAAAAAAAAAAAATACCATATTCATAATAATCAAAGTTATTGGTCCCCCATTATGTACGTACGTAGTAAGTAAAATGATTTAGCGATCGTGATGTAGTCACGATCGAAGATAAACAGATTATTATACTCTAGCGTGTTATAAAAATTATATTTGTTCGATCAATATATTTATACATATAAATATATAAAATATGTATGAAATATTATTTTACTGAGGACGCCGTTTAGATGCTAATTTACATATTATGTGCGTTTAGAGAGCAATGTCTTTTCTTGTTCGATCAGTAGCTTCTATTATTATTATTATTATTATTATTATTATTATTATTATTATTATTAATATTAATATTATTATTATATATTATATGAATTTCGAACGAATGTGAATGTGAATGGTATTTCACATATAGATAAGTTCAATATAGATAATTTTCATGATTGTTAAAAAAAGAGGACCTCGAATAGTCAAACCGGATCGATAATCAATTTTCGTTGCTTTAGAAAAAACAAAGAGGGGGAAAAAAAAGAAAAAACAAACAAACAAACAAACAAAAAAAAGAATGAAAAATAAAAAACATCGAAGAGTCTGCCAGGTGTTAGGGATAAAGTTAATAAGTAGTAAATGTATACGCATGATCGGACGATATAAAAATTACACTAAAAATCTTATTCCTGTTCTTATCAACGTTTTAACATTTTAACATTTATTCAAGTGCATGTAATAATGGCGGGGAAATTTTAAATCGCTTTATAAAGTTTAACTCTATCGGGCCGTTATCGAAATGTGTAAGTTAGCAAAAAGAAAAAAAAAATGAAAAAAAAAGAAAAAGAAAGAAAGAAAGAAAGAAAGTTTGAAGAAAAACGTGTACACATTAGAAAGAAGTTTTCTCAGGCAACTTTCGATTTCTCACGAACTACTTTGAGGTCCTCCGTTGAAAGAAAGCCAAAGAGAAAGAGAGAAAGAATGAGAGAAAGAGAGAGAGAGAGAGAGAGAGAGAGAGAGAGAGAGAGAGAGAGAGAGAGAGAGAATGAGAAAAAGAGAGAAAGAAAGAGAGAGAGGGAGAGAGAGAGAGAGAGAGAGAGAGAACAAAAATTTTCTATGTTTCGAGGAAAATCAACAACAGGTTCGAGCGCAAGAGGACGAACGAAAAAAAAGATGTTCTCTCTTGGTCGGAAGATGTCTCATCGCGGGGCCCCAATTATTATGATTAAAAATAAAAAAAAGAAAAAAAAAAGAAAGAAAAAAAAGAAAAAGAAAAAACAGAAAAAAAGAAAAAGAAACAAAAAATCAATCGGTGGTTATCATCTTGTGTACATATAGTGAGTTATATTTTGCAGCTTCGAGGAGGGCAAATCGGACAAGGAGATTCTGGACGATCTGCTGCAGACGGCGCGTTACGACAAGCGGCTTCTGCCCCCGGTCCAAGGTACACTGAGGCCCCCGCCCCACACCCGCCAAGACGACTACACCCCTGACCTCGTACCCAATGACCCCGACCATCCAGAGCACCTCGAACATCACCGGCACCGCTACCACCACACAGCACCACACAACCACAGCTCACTGCTCACCCCTCGTCGAAAGGGTACTCTCTATATAAGATCGACCCGTTCATATTGATAATAATAATGTTGATGATGGTGATGATGATGATGATGATGATGATGATAATGATAATGAGAAGCGATGAGATAAGCGATCGTAGTTAAACGGCTTTTGCGAGAGAGTTAGAGACAAAGGAATATCAAGTCAGAGAATTTCTATATGTGTGGAAGAGAGAAAGAGAGAGAGAATGCTTATAGGTTGCGTATATGTGTATGTGTATGTATGTGTATGTGTATGTGTATGACCGAAAGTAAGTGAAAAGGGAGAGATAGAGAAAGAGCGAGAGAGAGGGAGAGAGAGAAAGAGAGAGAGAGAGAGAGAGATAGAGAACATGAAGTTCGTTCAGTAGAGAAAGTCTGCGAGAGGTCAGCCGAATCGGAGAGACTACGTCCGACCTTTGACGGATCTTATTCACTGCAACTCACGCGAGTTACATACAATGAAAGAGAATTTCCTTGATCGTTTTACCCTTTGACATCTATAAACCAATCTTCCATCGAAGCGTATAAATATGTTGGTACGTCGTTAGCGATTAATTCCATGTTAATGGAGAAATTCTTGAACGTGATTTAAATTAAGATATTTTTTTTTTTTTTTTTTTTTTTTATTAATATCTCTCTGTTACGTGATATTTAGGAAAATTTAGAAAAGAGGAAAAAAAGAAGTGAGGGGCGAGGGGGAAAAATAAACGAACAAACGTGTAGAATTTTCATTTATATATGTTTTTTTTATTTACAAACGAAATGATTAGAATTGTTATAGATCGACAAAGAGAATTAGACTTGATTAATTATATTAAATTGGAAAGGAAAGGAGAAGAGAGAGAGAGAGAGAGTGAGAGTGAGAGAAAAGAAAGAAAAAAAAAAAGGAAAGGAAAAGAAAGAATTATTTATAAAATTTAATTGAAATTCCAAGAAAATGATTTCATTTAATGAAGTTTCCTTTTTAACCTTTGCCATTTAATTATTAAATAAAAGAGTTTCTTACGCGTTAATGTATTCCGTTATAAACGAGTTAATTTCGGGCAACAAGGACAAGCCGACGTCTCGTTATTATGCTTTACGTTCATCGAGTCTCTTTCATCGATCGACAAAGAGTATCACATAGGAAATGCCTACTATAGCAAAGCTATTCGCGTTATAAACGGAAAAGCTCGTTTTAACGCTATGGAAAAGCACCAAACGCATCGACGCATTATTTTACAAGAGTTTTAAAGATATAGTTAGATTAATATGCGCGTCTCGTGTCTTTCATCGTTTCACTTTTTCATTCCAACTGGAGAAAATAATTAATAATATAATATATCATTGCGATGATTTAATTGAAAATTATTGTCGTTTAAATTTTATCGTTAAGTGCATTTATTAAAAGATAAATTAATACGAAGTGTAAGAATCGTACGTTTTATATTATATTAATAGTAATAATGCGGTAAATCGTACGTAATCTTTAAATTTTATATCAAGGAAATTCTTTTTTTTTTCCCTTCTTTTTCTCTTCGTTTTTTTATTTTTATTTATTTATTTTTTTTTTTATTTTTTATTTTTATATAAATGGTGGTGATGTGCGAATTAAAGATATATATATAGATATATTTCTTTAATTAATTATTTAATTTTTAATTATAATAAAATCGAAAACAATGTCATTTTAATATTATTTCAAAGGTAAAGAAGAAACAAAACAAAAAAAAAAGTAAAAGAGTTAAAAACATATACACAAAGTTACTGCAAATTTTACGATTATGTTTCTATTCTTTTTTTTTTTTTTTTTTTTTTTTTTTGCACGAACCACCAAAATATCCAACAAAATTTCACTATTAATAAAATAGAAAATAAATACTAATTAAAAAGAGAAGACGTGTTTATTCCGATTAGGTTGCACTCGTCTTCGACTTTATGTTCGAGGCTTGAGCCGAGAGCTTTTCGCTAGGGAAAGAGCTTTTATCAGATATCCTATGGCAAATGGAAACATCTGTGATAAGAGGACGTATCGCTAGCAGTAACTGCATCAGCAGCCAACAGCCAACAGCCAGCAACAGCAGCAACCAGCAACAGCAGCAACAGCAGCAGCAGTAACAGCAACAGCAACAGCAGCAGCAGCTTGTAGCTATTGCTCGTAGAAAAAGCTCCGGAGACTTATTAGGCACTTTGCGAATTAGTTGTTTCCTTTCGAGCACTTCAGCTTCTTCGACGCTCTCGCAGTATCTCGATTTTCTCGAAACGATAGCTGTTTTAACAACGGCACTTTGTTACTTTCTCTATAGGGAAAAGGGCTTCTTATCTTTCGTTCATTCTTTCTTTCACATTTCTTTCTCTAATCTTATCTTATCTCAACGACATTGAAAGCTCGATTTTGAAGCTGGCCAATTTTGTGCTATTATCGAAATTCAATATTTCTGATACAGCTGTGCTTCGATATTTCTCAAATTTTGCTAGCTCATCATGATATTATTGCTTATTCTTCTTCCTCTATCTCTAAGTCTTTATCACTTCTTCTTTTATTAAATAATATCATTGATAAGAGTCTTTCAAGTTTTTAAATATATATCCTTTAAATCGTCTCAATTTTATTAAAGGATATATATATATATATATATATGTATATATATATAATAATAGCAATGTTTCCTCATGCAGAAATAATATAGCGGTTTGATATTGAAATTCTCGAGGTATTATGAAATATTGTAATTATACGGAGAATAAATTTAGGAATGGTAAGATGAATCTTGAAGAAGGGAGGAGAAACGTTATATATAGTTTGGATCCAAAAGCCCGGTTTTATGAACTTTAACGGGGAGAAAGAATGTGTGTGTATGTGTATGTAAGAGAGAGAGAGAGAGAGAGAGAGAGAGAGAGAGAGAGAGAGAGAGAGAGAGAGAGAGAGAGAAAGAAAGAAAAAGAGAGAAAAAAAATTGGATGAAAGAACGAGAGAGAAAAAGATAGAGCATATAAGTGAGATCTAGAAGAGAGGCTTTTCTTTCTTCTTCGCTAACTTTCCTCGACGTAGTCTGACACAAAGCCGACTCTTGGCGTCTACATCGGCAAGTTGATTAATTGTGAGAGAAGAAAATTACGAGAAGAGAGAGAGAGAGAGAGAGAGAGAGAGAGAGAGAGAGAGAGAGAGAGAGAGAGAGAGAGAGAGAGCTTCGTGGCTACATCATTAAACCGTAAACTTATTCCGTGACACGGAGCCGAAAGCTTTTCTCTCATTTCTGTCGCCTTCTCTCTCTCTCTCTTTCTCTCTCTCTCTCTCTCTCTCTCTCTCTCTCTTTCTAATTACATGTAAATATAAATAATGTATGCATATATTTGTGTGTCTGCTCACGTACATCAATGATTAGTCACGATCCTTTCTTTAATAATTATCGAAGTGAAGTCACATACTATGCAATCTCACGAAGATAATGCAAATCTCCTTTGCTAATTGATTTTTTTTTTTTTTTTTTTCTTTTTTTTTTTTTTTGTTGTTTTTGTTTGTTCTTCTTTTTCTCGTTTTTCTCTTCTTTCCTTTTTTTCTCTCTTTTCTCTCTCTCTCTCTCTCTCTCTCTTTTCTCCCTTCGTCTCGTTAACTCTATTCAAATAGACTACTTTCTTTCTGCTTGTCCCGGAAAAAAAAAAAAAAGAAAAGAATAAAAGTATTATAGTGATACCTTAGAGGATTAGATTTGAATGAAGTAATAATACACACGGTGTTCTTCTTTTTCTTTTTCTTTTTTTTTTTTTTTTTTTTTTTTTCGTATTCGAAACGAACTTTTTTTCTTTTTTTAATATAAATTTTATAATCGAATTTAAAAACGTTCTTCAAATTTTCATTCGTAATACGTAACGATAAAGTTTTAAGAAGGAATATTCTAGAGACTACATGTCGATACATATTATACTGTCTTATTCTTATTTCGTATATTTCTTTTTTTTTGTCCTTTTTTTTTTTTTTTTTTTTTTTTTCATGATACGTATCAACGATGTTAGTAAGGAAGATTCTAAGACGTCATATGTGTATGTGCGTATATGTACATACATATACGATTTTGAAGTAACACATTCCATGAAACGTTCGTAAAAGAAGAAAAGAAAATAAATAAATAAATAAATAAAGAAAGAAAGAAAGAAAGAAAGAAAGAAAGAAAGAAAGAAAAGCGTATCTCACACGAGGTAAGAATAAAATTGGTACATATCTCGTGTTATTGATCCGACGGAAATACGAATTCAAAATTTTCTTCGATCTTTCGAATAATATAAGTTGGTATCTATATGTATGTGTGTATGCTTCTCTCTGTGTGTGTGTTTATGTGTGTGTGTGTGGGAGAGAGACAGAGAGAGAGAGAGAGAGAGAAGGGAGTGGAAAATATCGAAGAGTTCTTTGCCAAATCCGTAGATATTGTGTGGGCGTGTCATCTGTAAGCAGTATGGCAGCTTGGTTACAATCGGTTAAATAGATTCGTGCAAATGTTATTCGCAAGGAAAAGGATGCCAAGAGTGACAAGTATATATTAGAGTTGTATATCGTTCCACTTCGTCTATTCACCTAACTTTTTCGATCTATCGTCATATCGTATTGTACTCTCGATCTCTTACCTCAAAAATTATTCGTCTTATTCTTCGAAATATTTTCTTTTATCTTTTTTTCTTTTTTTACAAAACAACTTTCATCGTCTTCGATCACGTAATATGATCGATCACTCTTCTATCGATTATGACAATTTGTTTTGTTCGATTTAATTTGATTTTCGATTTGATTTCATTTTCTTTTTTTTTTTTTTTTTCTTTTTTTTTTCTTTTTTTTTTTTTTTCATGTATCGGAGGATATAAGTTTTGGTGAATTTAAAATTGTAAAAGTGTTTCACAAGAGAGAGAGAGCGAGAGAGAGAAATAAAATGAAAGAAATGGTAAACGTGGGGACGATCTTGTCGCTTGATATTTCTTTTTTTTTTTTTTTTTTTTTTTTTTTTTTTTTTCTTTTCGATGTACGTACGAA